AAAAAAAAAAAAAAAAAAAAAAAAAAAAAGATTCTTTATCATACCTGGCCAGTAGCTAAACATGATCAGCAAGGCGAAATTACTCTGAACAAAACCATGTGCAGTAACACACAGTCATGAGTCTGAGATAAAGCAGATGGCAGAAATGACTCACATTAGGAATTCATCTTATAACACAAGTTAGTTGCCTACTGAGGAAATGAAAAGGTTAACAGTTTCAACATGCATCAGCTTTTACAACCACTATATGGAATGAACTAGAGAATGAATATGCTGAAATTAGATAACCTATCCTGTGGTGGATTAAGATTTAAAGTGCTTTAAATCCTTCTTCAATGGTGCCTAGAAAGAAAAGAGGCACACTGGATAGAGAAGGTATGGTGGATGATACAAGGTAAGAATCCACATGTCTGGGCCAGGCATGGTGGCTCACGCCTGTAATCCCAGCACTTTGGGAGGCTGAGGTGGGTGGATCACTTGAGGTCAGGAGTTCAAGACCAGATTGCCCAACGTGGCGAAATCCCATCTCTACTAAAAACACAAAAATTAGCTGGGCGTGGTGGCACACACCTGTCGTCCCAGCTACTTGGGAGGCTGAGGCATGACAATCACTTGAACGTGGGAGGCGGAGGTTGCAGTGAGCCAAGATTGTGTCACTGCCCTCCAGCCTGGGCAACAGAGTGAGACCCTGTCCCCCAGAAAACCAAATTCACATGTCTGACATGGTAGAAAATGTTAACAGAGAGAAGTGTGTTAAGAAAGCAATAAAGTGGCTAGCCACGGGCAGGGAAGGAAATCCAGTGCTGCCCTACAAAGTTAGGAATGGCTGGAAGTCCTAGTAGGTGAAAGGTTAGGTTATTGTTAAGGTAGAACAGGAAAGGTGAAAGGTAAAATGGCTATGAATAAGAGGAGGGAAACTAGCCAAGGTCTGAAGCTCTGCAGGACCCATAACCTTCTGTCTGCACCTGAAAGTGAGTAAGTAAATTGAGGTAAGATCATTACGTAAACATGATGAAAAAGGATGAGTATGACAAAGAAAGCTAAGCCTCAGCCCAAATCTTCCCGTAATTCTTCTTGACCTACCTACTAAAATTTAGACAAGCTGCTCTACTCAGTCTCCAGAATGTGTCATAAACTTTCCAGTCATTTAACTTTGCTCATGCCATTCTCCACACT